AGCAGGGAGAGTTTTCCGACAGATGAGGATCGTCAGGACATCAGGACACAAGTCGTCTGTGCCAAGATGTCCAGCATGGCTGCAGCAGGATTTAAAGGTACGGTGACATATCCAAACTGCTTGAATGTTTCTGCATTTTGTGAAACTACAACCACAAACGTCGATTTGCTTCATTGGGATTTTATGTGAGCGATCAACACAAAGTAAGAGAACAATGTTTGCTTACAAATAGCTTGCAGAACCATATTTTGCTTAATATTGATGAAAGAACATTTTCTCCCTGTTATATGTGAAATAACCTGCTATTTGAACTAATAGTTTTTCATCAATATTTATCGACTTAAAACAAACTGCTGAATTTTGCTGAAAAGTTACTTGTAAGTGAGTTTTGTCTTATTTCAGGTGCACTAAGATATTTCCTCCAGAAACTAGACCAGAAGTACTAAAGCACAGGTGTCAAAGTCAAGGCCCGGGGGCCAAATCTGGCCCACCGTAGCTTTTTACGTGGCCCTCTAGACTCCAAATTACACCAATAAGTTTCCAGTTTTTTCACAAATTTGCAAAATTCACACAAAATCAACAAATCCCCACATTTTCCTTTTGATTTTGCTGCACATTTTTCTCAAAATTGGTCAAAAACATCGAGTTTAAGTGACTGCTGCCTCAGCCTTACTTGATGTCAAGTTATAGACTGTGACTGAAACGACGAGTAGCAAAAAAGTCACATTGAACATCATACATCTGCACAAAATTCCTTACAAATATTTCTAAATTAGTCCCACAAAATCTGCAAATTTGATTGCGAAAAATACAAAAACAATCACAAAATCCTGGAGGGACTGATCAGCGATTATTTAATTTTAAGAAACACATATTGAATGCTGAAACAAACAGCTATTTATTAATATTTTAACAGTTTAATGAGTTTTATCAACATATTCTGACCCAACTAGCCCTTTTGGAACATTCAGATTTTTGATTTGGCCCAAAATGAAAATGGGTTTGACCCTCCTGTGCTGCTAAAGAGTTTAGAGCAGTTTGCTCTCTGTTGCCTGCAGCTCTTTGGTTCCCCTTGAAGGGGAGCTGTGCTCACAGCGCTGACATTCGCCGAAAAGGCCTCTGATCTGCACCAAGACACGCCGAGTGACCAGAAGCAAAGGTCTCATGTTACACCGCCTCGGTGATTAATCACAGGCTTGTAAAGCTTGTGTTTGCTCACAGCAGAAGGCATGCACATGCAGCAGCCCTGCATTGTGGGGAGATCATTGCGCTTTAGCAGAAATGGATCATGATGTCGGCAGAGTTTGCTGAAAGATAACCGGGTTGTTTGCATGTGGCTGTGATCCGTCGTCCTCGGTCTGTCAGAGAGCAGAGCCGTGTGTTTACATGCGCAGACAGAAGCAGCAGCATTTACTTTGTTCTTTGCAGACTTTTTCCATGTTTAGCTTTCTTTGAGCTCGTGCATAAATATATTTGAATCTAATCCTGCTTGTGGCGAGTTTGAGCAGCAGCGCTCAGATGGTGAATGCTTGGCTTTTAGATGAAACGTCTCTGCTTCAGAGTCATCGGTTTGAGTCTTTATAACATTTGGTTTTCTTCCAGCAGTGATGGTCTTGATAGAAGAGCTATGGCTCTCAGCCTAGGGCGGCATGGTCATGGGAGTGGACATGATACTTGTTAGCATTTTAAGTCATTTTCTATGCATTCGCTGTGTGATGACGGTGAAGTTGTCTTCATTTATTCTTCTGTTTTTAAATGGATTTCCACTCCATTTATTCAGCTCTAGTTCAAAGTTTTAAATGCATTCAGTGACTGAAACTGAACCTGATGGTTAAACAACGGCCAAATGTGTTTTAGGATGAGATTTGGTATTTATGAAGCCTTTTAAGAGCTATTTCAACGTCTTTGTCGCACACATACACAGAATAAACTACTCTAAAAAACTCCAATATTTTAACTTCAACACTGACTCCACTGTCATTAACTATTCATTTACTCCTGCACATCTGGAGCTTCGAGTAACTTTTAGATATAAAAGTTCTCGTGTTTTGCGGGTCGGTCTTTGTTCACAGGAGAGTGTGTGTGTGTGTTTGTGTGTGTGTGTGTGTGTGTGTGTGTGTGTGAAGAAGGCTCTTGTTCGGGGGCACGGCTCTGCAAAGCAAACAAAATGTTCTGTTGGTTTGATCGCCGTCTTGAGACTTTATGTTTTCTTTGTGGCTTCAGCTGCAGCCACTCAGTCACAGCATCAGTTGAACATCTGCAACGTTCACCTTACAACATGGTCTTTATCATAAACTGTTTTCACAGTCCATTTTCTTTGCGGATCATTTTCTTTCTACGTGCCTGAAATAGCCGTGTTTGTGTTCCTGCTGTGCTTGTTCCTCTGCAGCTGGTCGTGTTTTGGTTTGCTTGGCTTGTGATGCTGCGCACCATGTGAGGAAGGATCGCACGTGCCGGCAGAATAGTCGAAGAGGAAATGCGAAGAGGAAAAGGAAACAGTGGAGCTGGATTTTATGCGGGAGTGTGAAAGGAAAGGGAATTGAACATAAATGCTCCCCTGCTCCAGATTTTTATTTGTGGCATTTCAATGCTTCCACTTCCCAATTAGGCTCTGCTGCGCATGTTTATTGCACATGTACAGGCACAAAAGTATCCAATTTCTTTTTTACTTTAAAGACATGTTGCATCTCTCTTGATCTAAAATGCTTATTTAATTAAAAATAATTATGCACTGGGTGATGCAAACACTGAACTAACCATGTCTTTTTCCACTATTAAGGACTAAAATGTCTCCATTTTTTTCTCTTGAAGCGCTAAGAGTCCACCAAAGAGACTAAAATACAGAAAAATAGCCAAAGACTTATGAAATATTTATTTTACACCCCGAAGAACTGAAACTTCCACAGGCTTCAGATTCGTCATCGGCCGTTTCTGCAGAGAACTGAACCTTGTGGCTCAGCCCAGTTTCCTGTCCCAGTGAACTTCCTGGTATTTGTGCTGCTGCTCTATCTCATCCATCTCTCCCCTGAAGGAAAGGCAACGTTCTCTCTCACTGAGATCAACCACAGCACCACAGTTCAGTGTTTTAGAGGACAGTCCATACAAACAACCTGGGTGGAAATTCACAGCATTGTCATGAGGAGCTCAGTCGTCCTCTGGAGTAAGAGTGACAGAGTCGTTCACTTTCCCCATCGGCCGAGTTCACTGGTGGTTTTGGCAGGAAGTGGAAACATTTTGGGTCAGTCTTCAGCAGACAGCAGTGCAGTAATCTCTTATTATTAATAATAAAATCATGCAGGAGTATTTCTTTATTTTATCATGTTTGACTGGAAAATCTGTCTTCTGGCATTTCAAAAGTGCCAGTGCGTCGATTTAGTTTCACACTTCAGGTGATTTTTTTAAAACTGAGGTTTGGATCCATGGCGACACCTAAAGGTTTTTGCCCGATAAGTTTGTTTGTATCATCGATCACACACAAGATAATTCAATGTTCTGTATTGGAAAATCAAACAGAAATCAAATGAGTTCAGTATTTTCAAACATTTCATTTTTTACATACAAAAACAATCAATTCGGTGTTAAAACAAATAATAAAATCAAGACATAAAACAACATTAAAGACACTGTTTCTCATTAAAACAGCCTCATCAGGTCAGACAAAGCCAAGAAAAACTTATTGGGAAACTGGATGAAGCTAAACTGCATCTTTTTTTTAGTTATTTTGACCATTTCTCATTTTCTGCGAATAAATACTACATTTTTGCTTGTAATTTCTGGGACATGCTGTCAGTAGTTTGTAGAATAAAAGCACAATGTTCATTTTACTCAAACATATGCCTATAAAGAGTAAAATTAGGGAAACTTATCATTTTAAGTGGTCTCTTATTTTTTTTTTTCCAGAGCTGTACTTCATCCAATCTGACTGATCTAAGGAGAATATTTCAGTTTCTAGATGATCAATGTGTTTCTAAATGCAGTCAAATGCTACAGTTTTTGGATTTTCATTTGAAAATCTGAAATTATTTACTTATTAGTAATTCATTACTAATTGCTTATTCTTTTTCTGAATATAAAACTGGAGTTAATAAAAGCAGAGAGGAGGAGTTTGGAACCAGATGCTGCGGTGCAGCTTGTCTCCCATTGCAGCTCCTCCTCCTCCTCCTCCTTCTCTTCCTCCTCCTCCTCTCTCCTGCCTCTCCGTCCCTCTCTCACTCTCCGCCCCACTCATGATCTGTCTCACCACTCAGAGACGGTTCTGATCCAAAGTCAGGAGCATCTCTCTGACTCTGCCGTGCCATGGGACGAGACTGTCGTTGTTTTTCGCCGTTTTTTCACCCTCGTCACATTTGGAATATGAGTGGAAAGCTCTCTGCACACTTTTCCTCCCCTGTCCCCGTGGGATCACCGTGGGAGTAGAGTGTGTGTGTGTCTGCGGGCTCGTGTTTGCGTCTGCCTCTGATGGTGTCGAGTGGAGCAGCGCGAGCGCATCACCATGAGAGGGGGTCGCCACCAGCGAGGCTGCGGGTGTCAGCATCTGTTCAGGAAACTTCTCAGTCAATGCGGCTGCTGCTTTGTCAGAAGTAGAGGTGCGTAAATAAATAAATCGATGGTAAAACTGTCTCAGTCTTTGGAGATGGACTCAAGTTATTACTCTCTTGTGGTCTGAGAAAAAGATTTCTCAGAGTAAAAATAAGTCCAATCCATTCACCTATCACCGTTTATGAATATTTAAGCCTTTCACTTGCTCGTTCTAAGATCAAAAGGTCTCGTTTCGTACAGATACAGTTTAGCTTCTGGGTTCACAGAGCAGCTTTGCTTTAAATTGAGTCACAGGAAAAGTGAGACAGACTGAATCTGTGCATGCTTCTCCTCTCCATCACTGCGAAAAATTTGACATCATGTGGGAGGAGAAACGAAATATTTCACTGCTTAGTCTGATTCTGTAAACCTCCGGACGTCTGAGAGCTGCAAATCACAAGATGTAAAATGACAAAGAACTGTTCAATCTGACAGGGTGTATTTAAAGTACAGTTATTTTCAGCTACATCAGAAAATGTATTCGGATTTTATAACAATTAGGTCAAAAGTGGAGGGGAAGTGGTGCTCGAAAAAAGTACTAAAAAAAAGGCTAACAGTTACATTTCTTCTCTCAGAGCTTCAATCTTTGAATTAACTTTAATCCCATTTAGAAATACAACATGTTTGATTTATTCAATCGAAATAGCAATAAAAATGGGTTTTTGAAGTGCGTGTTAAAATGCTTAGGGTAAAGTTTTAAAAGGCTATTTTTTGAGGTCCATAAATTATAACAAAAATAGATTGTGTTGCATTATTTTTTAACAGAACATGTTAAAATTAAATAACTCAGCTTTTTTCCTTGTAGACACATTGCTCTAAAAATCGTAGAAATTATGGAGTTTTTTTTTGTCGTAGTTCTTCAAATGTATAAAATCCTGCTGGAATGTGATAAAATAAAGAAAAAAATAGTCATTGTGCTTTGAAAAGTCTGAAAATCATCACAAGATGCTTTTCTTATTTGTGATTAGTCTTTGGGCCTTTAAACCTTCGGGTCATTCATATTTTTAGGTTTGTGTTGATAAGGAAAGTCCTGACAAACATGGATGAGATCTCAGTGATTTGGTCTAATGAGGCATTTTTTTCTGCATTTGATACAAACTGATGTCGCTGTTCTTCGTTCTTCTCTGACTTCCTTCGGCCACAGTTTCTCCAGATGTTGTTCAGATGTTCTGTTTTTCTCTGGCAGACTCGATTCAGGCTCACAGTTTAGTCTACTGCAAATTTACCTGAACTTCTTTCGTTTTGGTCTTTTCTGCTCTGGATATTCGTGCTTGCTTTGCTCTCCCTGCTGCAGCTGTTTTGAAATCCTGTGTCTTCACCGATTGCATCATAACATGTTCGCCTCCTGGAGAGAAAGCATTTCTACTGTCAGGAAGTTGTGAAGTAATTTCCCTTAGAAATTCAGATCTTGGCTTGTTACTCGAAGCGAATCCAATTGGGAAAAATAAACTTTGATGAGTTTCACTTATTTTCTTGAGGAAAACAAGGCGTCCTGAAAACGCCAGGAATCAGGAAAAACTGATTCTTTCTTAAAATAATCCATAACTTTTAAACCAGTTTGATGTCAAACTAATAGATCATAAAATTAATTCAGGGAACTTTAAATGATGGAATTTAATATAAAATGAGACGGCTAATGATGTACTGTTTAGACCCTACACTGAAATGTAAAACATTTAATTTTTATTCATTTTTACATATGCATATTTTGTTTTCATATTTTGCCAAGCTACAACTAGATGCTTCCATACTTAAATGAAAGATTTTATTATTTTAAACCAGAGTGATTCTTCAAACAACTTTCCTGAGAGAACAGAATCCCCACAGCATGATGCTGACACCGCCATGCTAAACCAAGGCGATAATAACCAGTGTTCATTTTGGTGTTAGCGAACCGGACGCTTTGATCTGTTGTGGAGTAAACACAACGACACAGATTCACTAGAGATTTCTGTGCATGTCTGTTAGTTGTTCTGTCAACAGATTTTCCTACCTGAGTTGTGGATTTCTGCAGCTCCTCCACTTGATTCTTCTCCAGCTCTCTACTTGCTGAGCTGTCAGCTCAGATCAGAGGTCTGCAACCTCAATCCAGCAACGCAAAACTTGTCTAGAGCTGTAAATGTTACATCACCTTTTGTAAAAACAAACAAATAAAAAAAGGTAGATTAAGCATTTTTAATGAATATCAACTCCTGGAAATTTGTGGTAATTTTGCAAGAACCACCATTTTATGTCTGTTTTTAGGGTTTAAAGCAAAACATAAATGAAACATTTACTAAAAGTTCAGTTATTTTATGGAATGTTTGTGGAAATTTTTTCGCTTTCTAAGCTAAATAAGAAGAGCTGCTAGGTTTAGATGAATGCGATGCTTTCTTCTTTTTCAGATGATTGAATCTGTAAACAATTAGAAAAAATGGGTTTTATTTTGGGGGTTCAGAGTGAAGCAGACTTTTCATAAAATAAATATAGAACTGATCAGATTTGGGGGGTTTTCTGCGAGTGTTTTGAAACTATAAGGAATAATTTTTCTTCCACTTCACATTTATGTTGTGCTATAAAAACATTGAAGTTTGTAGTTGCCAGTTGAGAAGATCTCAAAAAGCTTAAGCTTTGTGGGTGAATGCATCCTTGAATGTTGTTTCATTATTTGTTTCTTTATGTCAACATCTGCATCTGAGTCAGATTGGGAAAACTTTTCTTATTTTATTGCCTTCTGAGTCAAGCTGAATAGAAAGCATGTGGTAATGAAGCCAGAGCCCAGAGCGCTGCCGAACCGCCGAACTAAATCTGCTGCCATGAAAAGTAACGACGAACTCTAAACACGTCGTTTCTGCAAACATGACACGACAGAAGGAGGGCGTTTAGTGTGACGTTTGCACAACCCTGGGAGATAATATGTGTATAGGTTAAGACTAAAGTTAAGGATTAATTCAGTTTTACGAGCTACAGCAGAAAAAAACCCGCACTTCCACGTCTGAGCTGCAGCTTTTTCTGATAAATATATTCTAATCACTAAATCTAGGATGCGGTGAGTCACTGTTGGCAGACTCACCCAGCCTAACAAAACGTGCATTTAAAGACTCCCCAGCAAAAATAATAACCACAAGATTCAGTGAAAACATTTGCAAACAAAGGGATATTTTATACATTGCATGCTTTGTCTCATGTGATGGCCTATTTGAGCGCCATTCTGCACAGAAAGTGATTTACCAAATGCTTTAATGCTCCACCAGAGAGCAGACAGCTGAAAACGCGCACACACGTAGACAATCGTCTTCCTGCGACTCTGAGCGTTAAATCCTCTGTTGTTCCAGTTGTTGGTGGGGGGAGATTACAGAGCTCTGTCTCTCTGAGCCGACCCAGCGAGCGCAACATGTGAGATGTGAAAATGAAAATGGCCCCGCACCGACGCGTCCCGCTTTTTCACCTCTGAGTTGAACAGGACATCTCTGGGGTTCAAATATTTGAGGAGCTTGTTGAGTTTTTGAAGAAAGCAATCCTAGCAATCAAGGACTTGTGCTTATTTTCTTCAAACGGATGAGTTTGTTGAACTTCTGCTGCGTTGTAGCTTTCTAGGCATTCCCTTCTCTTCCAGCAATCTGAGATTGTTTTAGGTTTTCATTGGTAACTCATACTGTTACTATTTATAAGAGAAACGCCTCCAGATGCAGAACTGTTGGACTTCCATTGAAATAGTTTCCCTGAGTCACCACACATCACCAGCTCTGATTCACGGAGTTCACCAGTAAGAGCCAAGTCGTTATTTCCAGTGTGTGATGGAGTAAATACAGACACACAGATTGACTCTAATTAAATAGCATCAAGCTAAATATCTCACACTTTTGCAACGCTAAATCTGACTCCTATTTGGACAAGTCAGACATGAATAAAACCCTGTGAGGTCCTCTGAGGTGAAAGTCATTCATTAACAAGAGCAGTTTCGACTTCATGCATGTTGCATGAACGCCATAAAAAAGTTATCTGTTGTGCAATTCTTAAACACCAAAGGATTCATTAAAGATTAAAGAATAGAAATGATTTAACATAAATAAAATATGCAAAAACAAGCAGCATCCAAACTTGAAGATCTAGAGCTAGTTTGGCTTACTGAGAGGAGAGGAGGTGAAACGACAGATACTAACGTTACGTTGCTTCATCTGCTCACTTTCCCAGGTTCTGATGGTGCCGGTTCGTCTCTGAGCTCTTTATTAGTCACTGATGCTTAACTGTAACCAAACCAGACAGAACATATGCAGACAGACTCCTTTTATCTTGAAAAAATTTCACACCACTTGAACGGTTTCATATAAATTATGCCCAAAACGTTAATATGTTTTGATCAGATTTTATGTGATAGGCTAACACATTGTAAAGTGGAAGGAAAATAACACTTTGTTTCTAATTTTCTCGACCCGGGTCAATTACTGCAGAACGACCTTTTCATGCTTTAGCTCTATCAACTCTAATCTGCTGCTCCGTAGCTTCCCCACAGTATGACGCTGCCACCACGTTTCACTGCTGGGACGGTGTGTTCAGGATAATGGGAAGATTCATTTTCTCCACACGCAGGATTTTGCATTTAGTTTAGCTTTCGGCCATCTTCCACATGTTTTCTGTCGCTGACATTAAACTAACCACTAAACGAGAATTATTCTGACTTTATTTCCCAAACACATTCTTCTTACTTCTCTCACTGCAGGAAAAAGAACCCTTGAACCCTTACAGAAGTAAGAACTTAAACGCGACTGGAGAGAGTTCCTGATTTGTGTTTTTTGTGACGCCAGTATCAGTATTTTCTATGACAATTGAATCCATCAGTATTTGCATGTTATTAAGCCCTAATCACAATCAACCCTACAGCTGCTTATGCAACACTAATGTGGGGCTAACATGTGAAATGTGCAGAGCTGTCATCGTTTTTAGAGATCAAACATCATGATGCTGATTGAAGTGCAGCTCCAGCAGTGTTCAAATAATGAACAGATTAGAAAATGGGAAATAATACTTCCGTCATAGTTAGAAAGATGCTTTCTGCTTCTAACACTAAACCGAAAAGTAATAACATATTATTATCATGACTTTTTGGAAATATTATTTGAGAATCTGGAGAGAGCCATACATTTACTTTTGTAGACGTGATTTTAATCAGAAACTGACAGTTGTGTGCATTTATAACATAAAAAATCCACAAGAACACAAGAAAATGGCTTTTAGACAGCTGTCCACTGTAGTGACCTCTATGCATGAAAGGGTTAATAATGAGTGGAAATTTTTAAATTGGAGCAGCTGTAAGGATCACAAGTATTTGTGTTTGCAGCCGTTCCTTTTTAAAAGTTTCTAAACCAAAATCTGTTTCATGACATAATAAATGTACAAAAGAGATGCATTTCAAAAGTGAGTAAAAATTTATATTCTGTTATATTTTATTGCTTCTGCCTGATGTTTTGTTAGCTTTTTTCTCTGTGAATATTACTTCACTCTTGCTCTTGGAGTTTTTCCTGCTCTACTTCCTGTTTTGCTGTCGCATCAGGTTTCTATTTATACTCAGCCCACCTGCAACGCTTTAAACTTTAATATTCTCCTGAGATTCCCGAGTGTTGTTTTCTCATTAGATTTTGTTCCCACGGTTCCTCAGGTTTAGTCCGTGTCCAAGTTTTTGTTTATTGTTCTCTGGTTATTTGCCATCAAGTGACACGTTTGTTTTCATCCGCGTGTGTTTTGTAGCTGTTTATCTTTTTAACAGTTCTTGAAACTTTCTGTGCGAAAACATAAAGGTTGAATTTTTCTGCCTGCTTTAAATAATGTCAGGTGAAGTAGCGTAGGTTTCAACAGATGAAGATGTGCGTAAGAAGCCAAACCTCAGTGAGTCTCTTAAGGAAAATTAACATTTTTTGTCTCCATCACCCTCTATTGTAAGGTTAAAGTTTAACTTGGCCTTCTTATTCTTCTATTATTAAAATAACATCTTGTGTAATATTTTACTCTGCTATAAAACCTCCAAAACAGTTACATTTGCCTGGAACTAAATAGTGTACATGCTCCCTTAAAAATAAGACATTTTTAATGTTTTATCCTTAACTGATCAAGAAAACATTAACAAATAGCACATTTTCCATTATGGCCAAATAAAACCAAGCTTTAATTGTAGGTTCAAAGGATAAGTGGCACAAAATCAACACTGAATGCTACCAAGAGAACAGAATACTCACAGTGTCAGCATCATGATCTGGGCTTTAATTTTCTTTAATTTATACATTATTTTAATCAAAAGTTTGGTTGTCGGCACTTTGACACCAAACTGACAGATTTTATTCTCCAGCATCCGTGTGATTACAAGAACGTCTTTAAATGTACAAAAGAGTATTTGGAAAACTTTTCCAAGTTAAGTGAGAAAATGTTGTGAAGTCAAGACTCGGGTTCTGATTGGACTTTTGTCAAAGAAAGCTAAATGCTTAATGAAATCAAAAGGAAGGTTTCAAGGCGTAGTCATGGGTGTCTGGTTTGGGAAAGCGATCCTGGATTGGATGGGTGGAAAGATAGATGGATTAATGCTGAGTTTTGGAGACTATTTAAAATCTTTTTTCAACTACGTTGTGTACAGTTCAGGATTAGGAAAGTGCTGCAAAACAAAGATGAATGATCATGAATCCCTTTCAGCATTAATTTCTCTCCATGGGAATTAAAAGACAAAGTTTTGGTTCCCAAAAAAACCCAAGATTCATAGCAAAAATAGAACAATTTGTTTTATGTGATTTCAATCAAATGGCTTTAATCAAAACTCGGTTGCATGTTGAAAAATGAAACATGCTCCTTTTACAGTTTCTTTTATATTTACATATTTCGCTGTTGTTGGGATGATAAATCTTGTTTCATTCAAATAAATGGGACAGTAAAGTTTGCAGGACGAATAAAAACAACACATAATCTGCTACAGTCTGTGTTTATTCTTGCTGTTTCAAGTAGTTTGGGTAAATGGTTGACCCAGTTTTCTACTGGCTTCTTGAAAGTTTCCCGTTATGATTACAACTTAATTATGCTAACGTTGACCGAGGGCCTCTGGAAAGAAGAACAAATGTATAAAATAAAACTCTTGAATGACTTTGGTTGGACAGGGAAGACGGACGATGGAGAAGGAAGGCGTTCGGTGCAGATGTGATGCGTTTGGTTTCAATGTTGTTTGGAAAATCCTAAAATTAAAATTTATTACATCATAGAGAACATATAGTGACTATTCCCTCTTTTCCTCATTCCTTCATTTTTTCTTCTCATTCTTCCTTGTGTTTTCTGTTTGTTAGTCTCCTGTTTTTTTTATTTCTTTTCCCTTCTTCCTCTCTCTCTCTGTTTCTTAGGATATTAACTCATGTCATTTTTTGAAAATAAATGTGTTGTAAATCTACAAAAAAACTTGCTTGCTTCTTTGTTTGTTCCTTTCTTCCCATATTTGTTTCTTTCTTTGTTCATTTTTTCTTAGGGAGTTAAACTCTGATGTCATATATTTTTGAAAAATAAACGTGTTGCTAAAACAAACAAAAAGAATTGTTGTTTCTTTCTGGCTTGCTTGTCAGAGGAGATGTTGTTTCTGTATTTGTGCTTTGGCTCCAGCAGCTCCACTGACTGAAGTTACATTTCTGGACTTGGCGCAGGAAATTGATCGACATTTTTGTGCAGCAGTAATCTGTCTGTAACATCTGCTGTTGTCTCCCCCTGCAGCGGAGTCGTACTCTGTGGCGTGCAGTGAAGGCAGCATTGCTCCGTCTGTGGGATCTCTGCCCCACCAGGCCTCAGGCAGCACCAGCCCCTGCTCTCACTCCTCGTCTGGAGCATCCCGGCACCCGGTCAGCGCCCTGAAAAAGTGGCTCACCAACCCGGTGCGGAAGCTGAGCTCTGACCCCAGAGGTGGAACGGGGAAAGCCGAGAAGCAGAGTTTCAAGGCAGAGGGGAAGCAAAAGCCTTTTTTGCGCAGTGAGACTCGGCAAAGTTCACAGGAAGTGCACAATAACTACACCATACTGTCCTCTGAAAACACGGTGCGACCCTGACGGCTGAACATGGAAACCCACCCTTCAGATTTCTTGTTTTTACAGCCTCTAATGTTGCTCATTTTGTTTGCAGGACTGGAAAAGTCCCACAGCAACGTCTCCGTCCCTGATGTCCCGTCAGAGTTATTTATGTGACCTTCTGGATGACTCACGGAGCCCAGTAAGTGCTAACCTGCTAACCTACTTGTTTCTAGATACTTGGTGTTAATCCAAATTTCACATTTAACATGTTTTTATACATCAATTTTGGTCTCTTCTGTTTCTAAAACAACCCAAGTGCTTTAAAAAAAACTCACATTTTTTGGCAAAATATGTTTTGGTGTCTAGAAAATGAGCTGTTTCAAAATCCTCCCAAATTTTGAGTCACAGCTGACTTGCACTGTGCCGTTACCTAGCAACATCAGCTGAGCTAAACCTGTCACTTAGCAACCCAGGAGTTCCAGGATGTTTAGTCAGCTGGTTTTACTGCTGTACAAAGACAGCTGGAAGTGACATGTTTTGTCACTTGCTGCGTTCTTCTTGGCTGTGCAGGAGGCTCCACTTCGTTTTGGGTCAGAGATGTACGGTTGTAAAATCGCGTATCTGTTTGCAACCATTTTTATGAGCGCGGGTAAACGTTGAGTTGGGGAATGTGGTCAGCAGCAACTTATTTGGATTTAAAGTGACAAGAGGCTGTAAAACAGCTCTGAAAGGAGCTCAAAATAGGCAAAACTAAGCAGACAAAAGCTCATTATCTGAGAATTATTTTGTTGAAAAAAAAAAAAGTAATGAACATGTTTTGTATTGCCCATTGACATACAATAACCTATCCGGGGAAGAATAATAGTTCCCCTTTAATGCTACGATCATGCAGCAAATGAAAAGAGATTCATTTGTACACATCATTTGACTTTCATTAGTGGTGCCAAAGAAGTCGCTACATGGTTGATGTGCGTACTCCCACACAGGCCTCTGCAACATCTACCGCTGTAGTGTTTAATCTACACAGAGGAGTGAAATCAATCATGTGTGCTTCTGTAGATAGCATCTGGGAGTAATCAGCTTGTCAAGCAGCCTTTAACAGCATGAAACAGGGTCAAGTTAGGGAGTGAAGACGGCACCTTTAAACCAGGAGAGGAAGAATCCCAGAGGCGGGGTGTGAGAATCAGGTCTGATGAGTTTTCCAGCCAGAACGATCAAGTTTCATGAC